CAGGGAGGTACTACCGTCCTGCCAAGTGAGTGTAAAACGTAAGCCTGTAATTGTTTTACATGATGGTAGGATTGCTGGTGTCTTTTGTCTGTCTCATAAATATGCAAGATTACAGGTACGTCTTGCTACTTCTACTTACACTTAGGTCACACTACACATACATGTACACGTTTATTTATACACACTCATCAGAGTTTTCTTTGATTTTATCTTAATAGTTCTTGGTCTTATTACTTTTCCTTTTATATCCATGGGGAAGTGGAATAAGAATCTTTCCTCCGTAAGCCATGCGTGTTGTAAAAGTCAACTAAAATGCCGGGAACAATGGGCTAGTAACCCCTTTTCCTGTAAAGATTACTAAAAAGAATAAGAAGAAGAAATTTGTCAAAGTGGGAAGTCTGAATGTGCGTGGATGTTGTGCAGATGATAAGAAAGAGATGATTGTGGATGTTATGAATGAGAAGAAACTGGATGTCCTGGCTTTAAGTGAAACAAAGCTGAAGGGGGTGGGAGAGTTTCAATGGAGAGGAATAAATGGGATTAGGTCAGGGGTTTCAAATAGAGTTAGAGCTAAAGAAGGAGTAGCAATAATGTTGAAGGATAAGCTATGGCAGGAAAAGAGGGACTATAAATGTATTAATTCACGGATTACGTGGAGTAAAATAAAGATTGGGTGTGAAAAGTGGGTTATAGTAAGCGTGTATGCACCTGGAGAAGAGAGAAGTGTAGAGGAGAGAGAGAGATTTTGGGAAATGTTGAGTGAATGCGTGGGGAGTTTTGAATCAAGTGTGAGAGTAATGGTGGTTGGGGATTTCAATGTTAAAGTGGGTAAAAATGTTATGGAGGGAGTTGTAGGTAAATTTGGGGTGCCAGGGGTAAATGTAAATGGGGAGCCTTTAATTGATCTATGTGTAGAAAGAAATCTGGTAATAAGTAATACATATTTTATGAAAAAGAGGATAAATAAATAAACAAGGTATGATGTAGCACGTAATGAAAGTAGTTTGTTAGATTATGTATTGGTGGATAAAAGGTTGATGGGTAGGCTCCAGGATGTACATGTTTATAGAGGGGCAACTGATTTATCGGATCATTATTTAGTTGTAGCTACAGTTAGAGTTAGAGGTAGATGGGAAAAGAGGAAGGTGGCAACAACAAGTAAGAGGGAGGTGAAAGTATATAAACTAAGGGAGGAGGAAGTTCGGGTGAGATATAAGCGACTATTGGCAGAAAGGTGGGCTAGTGCAAAGATGAGTAGTGGGGGGGTTGAAGAGGGTTGGAATAGTTTTAAAAATGCAGTATTAGAATGTGGGGCAGAAGCTTGTGGTTATAGGAGGGTGGGGGCAGGAGGAAAGAGGAGTGATTGGTGGAATGATGAAGTAAAGGGTGTGATAAAAGAGAAAGGGTAGCTTATGAGAGGTTTTTTACAAAGCAGAAGTGTTATAAGAAGAGCAGAGTATATGGAGAGTAAAAGAAAGGTAAAGAGAGTGGGTGAGAGAGTGCAAAAGGAGAGCAGATGATAGAGTGGTAGAGGCACTGTCAAAAAAATTTTAATGAAAATAAGAAAAAATTTGGAGTGAGTTAAACAAGTTAAGAAAGCCTAGGGAACGTATGGATTTGTCCGTTAAAAACAGAGTAGGGGAGTTAGTAGATGGGGAGAGGGAAGTATTAGGTAGATGGCGAGAATATTTTGAGGAACTTCTAAATGTTGAGGAAGAAAGGGAGGCGGTAATTTCATGCACTTGTCAGGGAGGTATACCATCTTTTAGGAGTGAAGAAGAGCAGAATGTAAGTGTGGTGGAGGTACGTGAGGCATTACGTAAAATGAAAGGGGGTAAAGCAGCTGGAACTGATGGGATCATGACAGAAATGTTAAAAACAGGGGGGGATATAGTGTTGGAGTGGTTTGTACTTTTGTTTAATAAATGTATGAAAGAGGGGAAAGTACCTAGGGATTGGCGGAGAGCATGTATAGTCCCTTTATATAAAGGGAAAGGGGACAAAGGAGATTGTAAAAATTATAGAGGAATAAGTTTACTGAGTATACCAGGAAAAGTGTACGGTAGGGTTATAATTGAAAGAATTAGAGGTAAGACAGAATGTAGGATTGCGAATGAGCAAGGAGGTTTCAGAGTGGGTAGGGGATGCGTAGATCAAGTGTTTACATTGAAGCATATATGTGAACAGTATTTAGATAAAGGAAGGGAAGTTTTTATTGCATTTATGGATTTAGAAAAGGCATATGATAGAGTGGATAGAGGAGCAATGTGGCAGATGTTGCAAGTATATGGAATAGGTGGTAAGTTACTAAATGCTGTAAAGAGTTTTTATGAGGATAGTGAGGCTCAGGTTAGGGTGTGTAGAAGAGAGGGAGAATACTTCCCGGTAAAAGTAGGTCTTAGACAGGGATGTGTAATGTCACCATGGTTGTTTAATATATTTATAGATGGAGTTGTAAAAGAAGTAAATGCTAGGGTGTTCGGGAGAGGGGTGGGATTAAATTATGGGGATTCAAATTCAAAATGGGAAATGACGCAGTTACTTTTTGCTGATGATACTGTGCTTATGGGAGATTCTAAAGAAAAATTGCAAAGGTTAGTGGATGAGTTTGGGAATGTGCGTAAAGGTAGAAAGTTGAAAGTGAACCCAGAAAAGAGTAAGGTGATGAGGGTATCAAATGATTTAGATAAAGAAAAATTGGATATCAAATTGGGGAGGAGGAGTATGGAAGAAGTGAATGTTTTCAGATACTTGGGAGTTGACGTGTCGGGAGATGGATTTATGAAGGATGAGGTTAGTCATAGAATTGACGAGGGAAAGAAGGTGAGTGGTGCGTTGAGGTATATGTGGAGACAAAAAATGTTATCTATGGAGGCATAGAAGGGAATGTATGAAAGTATAGTAGTACCAATACTCTTATATGGGTGTGAAGCTTGGGTGGTAAATGCAGCAGCGAGGAGACGGTTGGAGGCAGTGGAGATGTCCTGTCTAAGGGCAATGTGTGGTGTAAATATTATGCAGAAAATTCGGAGTGTGGAAATTAGGAAAAGGTGTGGAGTTAATAAAAGCATTAGTCAGAGGGCAGAAGAGGGGTTGTTGAGGTGGTTTGGTCATTTAGAGAGAATGGATCAAAGTAGAATGACATGGAAAGCATATAAATCTATAGGGGAAGGAAGGAGGGGTAGGGGTCGTCCTCGAAAGGGTTGGAGAGAGGGGGTAAAGGAAGTTTTGTAGGCGAGGGGCTTGGACTTCCAGCAAGCGTGCGTGAACGTGTTAGGTAGGAGTGAATGGAGACGAATGGTACTTGGGACCTGACGATCTGTTGGAGTGTGAGCAGGGTAATAGTATTTAGTGAAGGGATTCAGGGAAACCGGTTATTTTCATATAGTCGGACTTGAGTCCTGGAAATGGGAAATACAATGCCTGCACTTTAAAGGAGGGGTTTGGGATATTGGTAGTTTGGAGGGATATGTTGTGTATCTTTATACGTATATGCTTCTAAACTGTTGTATTCTGAGCACCTCTGCAAAAACAGTGATAATGTGTGAGTGTGGTGAAAGTGTTGAATGATGATGAATGTATTTTCTTTTTGGGGTCACCCTGCCTCGGTGGGAGACGGCCAACTTGTTGAATATATATTATATATATATATATATATATATATATATATAAATATATATATATGCAATAAGATCACAGTAAACAGGTGATTTCATAGTTCCTTGATAATGTGAGTAGTTTACGAAAAGCGCTTGGAATTTCTTTATTCTTTCAGAGTGTTGTTTTTGCATATAATATATATATATATATATATATATATATATATAAATAAATTTATATATATATATAATATATATATATATATTACATGTATATATTTAAATACTTGATATTTATAGTTGTTTTAAGATGTATAATTAATATTTCCTTAATGGTTGAAAGAATTTGCATAAAAACGCACAAATGTTGATATGTTTTAAAGTATGATCATTTACTTTCAGTTTTATAACAGTTTGTTATAGATCCACATGACATGACACTCCAAGTTGTTAACTAAGTTAATATACTGGTAAATTCTGACCTACTTAGACTAAACATAAATGATGTTAATTCTGCCATGAAGTGGATCGTCTTGAGAAGTTTGAACCTGGCCACAAAACACATTCTTACATTATTAAATAAAAAACAATATCAGTTTGTTTAATACAATCTGGAAAGTGGAATTTATACATCTGTATAACAACAAGAAAGTTTCCCCGAGTACAACACACTGGTTGTAGACAGTTGAAGCCGATCAGACGAGGCATTCTCCAGGAAATCCAAAAGTCAGATTAATACATTCACTTCGTAAACTTCTGAGGATTATTGTTGCTTATAAGACGCAGGATCCAGTACTGATCTTCACACCAAGTGCAGTCAACATTATTAGGGGGAAGATTATATCATATTGCAAATCATATTTTTAAAACAAAGTGGAAGCGTTACTCTCCAACACAATTCCAGCCTATGAGATACACCAGAGTTGACAGTTTAAAGTAGTGCGATAACTAAGTCATCCGTTCGATAACTAAGTTATCGCATGGAAACATAGCAACAAAACATGATATTGAGCAGAGAACATCTGCTGATGCCAGTAATTGCAAGAACCTGTTCCATAGTCACAGTACGTCAGTGTTGAATATACGAAGCTGACTCCATCAGTCGTTCCCAAGTTACGAAGACAACCATTGGACGAAGAAAAAATTAAGAAAAGAATTCGGGTACCTAATTAAGGGTGCTCTTCTTGGATGCCTAATAAAAAGTGTAGCCGTAAAGGGCCTAAGTTCCTACATTATAATGTTACCACATATTTCAGGTATTTCCACCTAGTTATTCTCTTACTGATAATATGTAGCCGCACATTGTAGGTACACTCATTTTGGATTTAAAAAATATACTTTCGTCTACATTGGTCTGTCCTCTCTTCCCCAGGTTTTTTCTTATTCTTGAGGTAGACTGACCTGCGTACTGATGGCTGACTTAGGTCTAGGCGTCCTGCGATAGGTGCCGTACACACTGCTGGTATATGGAACAGAGGCACAGATGTGGACGCTGTTGAAGCCGCCTTCTTCTGGGGTAGTTGGTGTCTGGTTCACCACCTCGCTGTTACCTGCAGTTAAAGTGGTTATCACGACAGTCACATCTGACAACTTTAGTGAGGATCGATTATGTTAACAAATCACTTAACAAAGAAAGGTTATTAGACACATTTATTATGCTCACATGCACTATTAGCAACTGCTACATGTTTATCTAATAGAGATCCTTATTCTTGTCATCCTTTCTCATTTTGCAGTAATTAGGTACCTTGTTCATCTACTTACACCTGATGCCTTGTTGACTTAACACAAGCACAAAATAATTATGTATGAGTCACAAACACAGACATATTTCTATCATTTACACACAACCCACAACTGGAAGGGGAACCATGCAATACATGGTAAATTTCGGCCCCACACTGAAGTTCTTCAAGGCTTCTGAAGAGAGTCTTAGTGTGAAGTCGAAATACACAGTACTCATCTTTCCCTCCAAGTGGGAGTCAGAATTTATAATTTGGTGCAGAAAGGACCAGAAATGTCATGTCCTTGATGAATCTAGATAAATGGTTCAGAGAACCGATAAGTTGATAAACTAGACACATGTGCAACATTTGGATATCTTTATTGTTCTGGACTGTATTGTACTGTATTGTACTGTATTGTACTGTATTGTACTGTATTGTATTGTATTGTACTGTATTGTACTATAATGAACTGATGAAGCCACATCAGTCCAGTACAGAGAAGAATGGTTGAAGATCAGAAGGAGATTGAGGAAATTAGTCCCTCAGCCTGGAGTCGATGTGATCAGTCTATTAATCTTGATTTATAGACTGATTACATCGACTCTAGGTTGAGGGACTGATTACTTCAATCTCCTTCTGATGTTCAACCATTCTTCGCTGTACTGGACTGATGAAGCCATTGTGTGGCAAGACGTTTCCATAAAAATTGTGCACAAGTGTTACAAGAGTGTCTAATTTATCACCTCGAGGAATCGTTTTTGTATAAATAATTTAACTATATATTCTAAGCGACTTACCATTGGAGGGAATGAGATCAGGATTCTTTTCATCGAGGTCCTGAGTATCAGCCAAATACGTCTGATGTTGGGGTGTGGTGGTCTTGCTGCTCGGACTTCGCTTTTTCTTGAGGCTGACCACCACTACTGCCACCAGCGCCACCAGCACCAGCGACCCAACCACTCCCACCACCACCGCCAGTATAGCGGTGATGGCCACCAACTCTTCAGGAGGAGGTCTGACTTGTGCAGTACGTCTCTCTGCTACATCTCTGATTGTGTAGCCATTCAGAAACCTCTTCTCACTGGGACCCCTTTTGTTGGTAGCATAAACTTGCATAACATACGAAGTCCCAGGTTCGAGTCCTCGTAAGGTGAAATCCGGAGACGTGTTTTCGGTGATGTTCAGTAATAGACGCTTAGTTTCAGTGTCGTAAGTCTCGATAATAAACCTCTGCACAAGACCACCATCATAACCAGGCGAGCAGTGCACTTTCAGCGTCTCTGTGGTATGGTTCGTAACTTCGCAGTTCTCAGGAGGGTTGGGGTTGCCCGCAGCAACCACCCTGTAAGCACAAGGTTTCTTTTGTCTGCCCAGGGCGTTGGTACCCCAGCAGAGTAAAGTGCCGTAGTCCAGCTCGGTGCGGGCCACGTAGGACAGAGAGGACTGGAGTCCATATGTTGCCACGTGATTTTCTGCAATGTCAACTACGTCGCCACTGCTGTTAAATCGCCAGAAGAAATGAACAACGGGAGGCACAGCGTCCAGACGACAAGTGACCGACACTTCTTCGTTCCTTGCGGCGCCGTAGACGTGAACCTGACCAGAGGCGCACACTGGGGCATCTGGTGGTACCAAAGTATCTCTAAAACAATGTGATCACATTACCCTTGACAACCCAGTGGTAGCGACGGCCCAACATATATTGCAAGAGGCTTACAGGCCCAAACAATTTTGGTTTATTTGTTCCTAATTAATAATTTATATCTCTAGGTTGGTAAAAACCTTGGTAATAGATACCCACAAATTGGTTTAGACAGACACGTGAGCAAACACTAGGTCATATTTATTACAGAACGTTTCGGTCCTGGGACCTTGATCATTTCACAAGTGATGAAGGTCCCAGGACCGTCGGCCGTCTCCTACCGAGGCAGGGTGAACCAAAAAGAAAGCAAATCCCTAAAACGAAAATACGTTCATTATCATTCAACACTTTCATCTCACTCATACATAATCACTGTTTTTGCAGAGGTGCTCAGATACAACACTTTAGAAGCATATACAAAGATACAATATAAAAAGTGACCTGAAATAATATAATAAACTCCCTATAGAATATAATATCAGGGCCCCAATTATATATATATACATACCGTCCTATTACACATCCCTCCAAACTGCCTTAGTATACTAGTATATTTCTAGCTAATCCTGGTTTAATAGACTACAATGAAGCTTCAGGACGTAAATAGAATTAGTAAACTGAAAGGTAAATTAGTAAGGTTTCACTAATTAAAAATACTCATATATATATTAAATAATAACATCTAATTACTAGAAAAATATTTTCTGCTCAAATGCAACTGATTATCTTATTTTCCTTTGGTCAGATTTCTGCCCAAGTCTAGAATTTTTAATCATTTACAGCCCCTCAGCAGCGCTCTAAGATCCTTGTTGGTTTAGCGCTTTGTTATGATAATTATAATAATAATTACAGACCCTCAATTATTAATTCATTAACAGACATCTGATATATTTGCTTCAAGAATTATAAAGCTTCTTAAAATTCTATTCTTGCTTATACTCTATTCTTTTAATGACTCGTAGGTCAGTGCAGAGTCTCGGCTCACAACGGAACAGACCAGGGTTCAATTCCCGAGATGTATTATCAAATCTCCATGTAACTGCTGCAATTGTTCACGGACGTACTGGTAGACTTTCTCGCAGTCACATACATTCACAAATAAATACACACATGTGCACAAACATTCACTTATATACACACACACATACACACATACACACACACACACACACACACACACACACACACACACACACACACACACACACACACACACACACACACACACACGACACTCGAGGACAGGAGAGATAGGGGGGACATGATAACGACATACAAAATAGTGAGATGAATTGACAAGGTGGACAAAGACAGGATGTTCCAGAGATTGGACACAGCAACAAGGGGACACAGTTGGAAATTGAAGACACAGATGAATCACAGGAATGTTAGGAAGTATTTCTTCAGCCACAGAGTAGTCAGGAAGTGGAATAGTTTGGGAAGCGATGTAGTGGAGGCAGGGTCCATACATAGTTTTAAGCAGAGGTATGATAAAGCTCAAGGTTCAGGGAGAGTGACCTAGTAGCGACCAGTGAAGAGGCGGGGCCAGGAGCTTGGACTCGACCCCTGTAACCTCAACTAGGTGAGTACAACTAGGTGAGTACAGAGGAGCTGTGACACGATCCCTGCAACCCCATATAGGTGAGTGTATAAACATACAAAAAGAATGAGTTGATACACAATAACAAGCACGATTTTAAGGAGGGAAAAATCCTGTCACAAACCTAGTGGAAATTTACGACAAAGTGAAAGAAGTAAGGAAGGAGAGAGAGGGTGTTGAGACTGTATGAAGGCTATCGGTACAGTTCCGCACAGGAGATTAGTGCAATAGCTAGAGGAGTAGGCAGGAATAACAGAAATGTATCAGAGAATACCTGACAGGAAGGAAACAACGAGTGATAGTACCTGACGAGATGTCAGAGTGGGCGCCTGTGATGACCGGGGTTCCACAAGGGTCAGTCCTAGGGCCGGTACTGTTTCTGGTATATGTGAATGACATGACGGAAGGGATAGATTCAGAGGTGTCCCTGTTTACAGATGATGTGAAGCTAATGCGGATAATTCAAATGAATGAGGATCAGGTAAGACTACAAAGAGATCTGAACAGGCTACAAGCCTGGTCCAACAACTGGCTCCTGGAGTTTAACCCCACCAAGTGCGATGTCATGAAGATCAGGGAAGGTCAAAGACGACCGCAGACCGAGCACAGGCTCGCAGGCCAAAGACTGCAAACATCACTCAGAGAAAAGGATCTTGGGGTGAGTATAATATCGAGCACATCTCCTGAGGCGCACATAAACCAGATAACTGCTGTAGCATATGGACGCCTGGCAAACCTAAGAATAGCGTTCTGATACCTCAGTAAGGAATCATTCAAGACTCTGTACACCGTCAGGCCCATATCCGAGTATGCATCACGAGTTTAGAACCCACACCTGGTCAAGAATGTCAAAAGAAAGTGCAAAGGTTTGCAACAGGATTAGTCCCGGAACTAAGAGGTATGTCCTACGAGGAGAGGTTAAGGGAAATAAACATGACGACACTGGAGGACAGGAGGGATAGGGAAGGCATCATAACGACATATGAAATACTAGGAGGAATTGACAAGGTGGATAGGGACAGGGCATTTAAAAAACGAGATATAACAACAAGGGGTCAGAACTGGAAGTTAAAAAGTTAGATGCATCACAGGGATGTTAGGCAGTATCTCTTCAGTCATAGAGTTGTCAGGAAGTGCTACAATCTGGGGAGTGATGTAGTGTAGGCAGGATCCATACATAGCTTTAAGAAGAGGTACGATAAAGCTCATGGAGCAGGGAGAGTGTGGACCTAGTAGCGACCAGCGAAGTGGCGGGTTCAGGAACTGTAAATCGACCCCTGCAACCACAAACAGGTGAGCACACACACACTGACATCAGTCATCACAGTCTGGGTGAAGGTTGTCTCTCCACATTTAGAGTGAAGCGAACTGAGCGATAAATATGAGTGGCGGCCCAAAACTTGGAAAGTAAAAATATATATTCAAGTTTACTGAAATACAGAGGAAAAATATTTGAGTTTTAAGATAAATTATTGAAAAAAATTGAGGCCTTTTGATTACAGTATTAGAGAGACACGAGATCAAAACATTGATGTTTTTTCACTTAGAGGGAAAACATCGCAGTCTTTTCAGTAGGAGAAAAAATTCGTGGATGGATAAATAGATTAACAAAGGTGGAAAAAAAAATGGGTGAGGCTGGAAGAAAAAGATTAAAAACATATGATATTTTTTATTATCACATCGGCCATCTCCTACCAAAGCTGGATGAGCCGATAAAGAAGAAACACTGTTACCATCATTCACTCCATCACTGTCTTGCCAGAGGCGGTGTTTTACACTACAGTTATAAAACTGCAACATTAACACCCCTCCTTCAGAGTGTAGACACTGTACTTCCCACCTCCAGGACTCGAGTCCGGGAAGTAGGAAATACAGAGTCTGGAGGTGGGAAATACAGAGTCTGGAGGTGGGAAATACAGTGTCTGGAGGTGGGAAATACAGTGTCTGGAGGGGGGAAATACAGAGTCTGGAGGAGGGAAATACAGTGCCTGGAGGTGGGAAATACAGTGCCTGGAGGTGGGAAATACAGTGTCTGGAGGTTGGAAATACAGTGTCTGGAGGAGGGAAATACAGTGCCTGGAGGTGGGAAATACAGTGCCTGGAGGTGGGAAATACAGTGTCTGGAGGTTGGAAATACAGTGTCTGGAGGAGGGAAATACAGTGCCTGGAGGTGGGAAATACAGTGTCTGGAGGTGGGAAATACAGTGTCTGGAGGTGGGAAATACAGTGTCTGGAGGTGGGAAATACAGTGCCTGGAGGTGGGAAATACAGTGTCTGGAGGGGGGAAATACAGAGTCTGGAGGTGGGAAATACAGTGTCTGGAGGTGGGAAATACAGTGTCTGGAGGTGGGAAATACAGTGCCTGGAGGAGGGAAATACAGAGTCTGGAGGTGGGAAATACAGTGTCTGGAGGTGGGAAATACAGTGTCTGGAGGTGGGAAATACAGTGTCTGGAGGTGGGAAATACTGTGTCTGGAGGTGGGAAATACAGTGTCTGGAGGTGGGAAATACAGTGTCTGGAGGTGGGAAATACAGTGTCTGGAGGTGGGAAATACAGTGCCTAGAAAAGGGAAATACAGTGCCTGGAGGTGGGAAATACAGAGTCTGGAGGTGGGAAATACAGAGTCTGGAGGTGAGAAATACAGTGTCTGGAGGTGGGAAATACAGTGTCTGGAGGTGGGAAATACAGAGTCTGGAGGTGAGAAACACAGTGTCTGGAGGTGGGAAATACAGAGTCTGGAGGTGAGAAATACAGTGTCTGGAGGTGGGAAATACAGTGTCTTGAGGTGGGAAATACAGTGCCTGGAGGTGGGAAATACAGTGCCTGGAGGTGGGAAATACAGTGTCTGGAGGTGGGAAATACAGTGTCTGGAGGTGGGAAATACAGTGTCTGGAGATGGGAAATACAGTGTCTGGAGGTGGGAAATACAGAGTCTGGAGGTGGGAAATACAGAGTCTGGAGGTGGGAAATACAGAGTCTGGAGGTGGGAAATACAGTGTCTGGAGGTGGGAAATACAGTGTCTGGAGGTGGGAAATACAGTGTCTGGAGGTGGGAAATATAATGTCTGGAGGTGGGAAATACAGTGCCTAGAGGTGGGAAAAATAATGTCTGGGGGTGGGAAATACAGTGCCTGGAGGTGGGAAATACTGTGCCTGGAGGTGGGAAATGCAGTGTCTGGAGGTGGGAAATACAGTGCCTGGAGGTGGGAAATACAGTGTCTGGAGGTGGGAAATACAGTGTCTGGAGGTGGGAAATGCAGTGTCTGGAGGTGGGAAATACAGTGTCTGGAGGTGGGAAATACAGTGCCTGGAGGTGGTGGGAAATATAGTGTCTGGAGATGGTGGGAAATACAGTGTCTGGAGGTGTGAAATACAGTGT